CCCTGCTTTTTTGAGCTTTGATCAAAATCTAAAAAAAAAGGAAAAGAAGTTTGTTAATTTACCTTTAGGTATTGTGGAAGACGTTTTTCAGTAATACCATTAAATGACCAGAGGAAATTAATGGCCTGCATGATCATTGTAGTGCGAGGACACCAAAAGGCTCTGTGGTAGCCATGGTAAATTAAAGTAAGTTCCGCAGTTTTGATATTACCTTAAACTTCGTAGTAGAGGTCAGCGGAACTTCACCATAAATCCAGTCCCGGCCAGAGTTGCCTTTCCAAGTCCAGATGGGTATTTCACGATAAATTCCTGTTTTCTGGAAAATTGTCAACGTTTTATCTCCAGATCCCCGCAGCATATAGCGAAACCTCAAGCATCTGCTTTTCCCGTCACTTGATCTATTGTATGTCTGGCTCACAAGAACTGCGGTCCCATTTGGCTCCAAATCGACGGTATCTACCACAAGCCTGGCACCTGTTGGTCATACAATCGCAATGTTTGTGATCCTGATTATGAATTTTGAGTGTGGCAAATGATACACGCGTGTGATAAAAAGGATCGCGCATTCCTTCAAATTTCATTTAAAAGACCAAAGCAACGCTGATAAAAAACTTTTGACCCACAACATATTAGAGACTTGTAGTGTTCTGCGCTGATCATGCTGCAATTTCATTAAAACCCAGAATCACCTCCTGCCAGCCGAAGACTGAGGCAATCCTGTGTCATAAAAACTCCTTGTCGTCATTAGTTTGAATAGGTCATGACAGAGAACTAGACTAACTGAATAGAGATGATTTTTGTTCGACTACTGGTTGACACTAGTGATTTACCTTCGAGGAGATATCACCATTAAAGAGAGTAAAGAACGGAAAAGGAAACAATGTCAATAACCACAAGGAAAACAAAATAAGAAAAGACAAATCATAAAATTAAGCAACAGACATGAAGATGGCTCTTCTATCAAACTATCCTTTTATATTGATGGAATGAAACACGTTTATAAAGAGATTACTATTAAAACGAAAACCAAAACAACAACAAAAGTGATCTTAGTGTTTGGCTTATAACGATGACAATGATGAAGTTATTAAAGTATGCCTTACGTTTTCCATCGTTGCAAGTTGGAAGTGATTTCATCTCCACTTCCCCAATCAGCCCTTTTCTAACTTTTCCCCAGGCCATCGCATTGCCAGCTTCCGTGCCACATCCGTTTGACATGCGCAGTATCTCCTCTGTTGTGACCAAGGTACTCCAAATATTGAAGCC